TAACGAACCCAGTATGTTCCTCCTTTACGCTGCCAATCGGCTTGTACGTTAAGATCATGAAGACCATCTCGATCAAGCTTTGGAAAAATCAACAACAACATGGTCATTAATTATCATTATTATCATCAACTGATCATCATCATACCTTAATAACACGTCCAATGTCGCCTTCATGAACCTCTTCATACGTACGACAGCACCGTACCATCATCCCCACCTGAATATGGTCCCTGACATACCGAGCATACTCGTCATTACTAGCGAAATCACTACGAACTTTGAAGTCAGTCAAGGGRCTTGTAGTCTCACTGTCAGTAGTAGAGGAGTCTGAATCACTACTAGAACTAGAATCACTGTCACAACAATCATCATCGTCATCATCATCTGACGATTCATCACTGCTTGATTCCGCTATTTCGGTCTCTCTTTCAGGAAGTTCAAGTTCAGGATGATCAAGCAGCCATGCTACAACAAGTTCGGTTCTTGGATCTTCCTCTTCGTGAAGCTCCTTAAGGGCATGCTCCACGAGTTGTCTTGGAAAACCCATCTCCACGAGTTGCTTGACTTTGAGTTCAATCGGTGGTTTTTGTTTCTTTGTGCGAACTTTCTTGTGTTTTTTAATGTGGGTTTTTTGCTGGTGTTTTGAAGGTTGCTTTGATGAGGGAAGGTTTTGGCTGGAGAAGCTTGAAGGTCCGGGCTGGTTTTGATCAACTGGTGGAGGCAGTGTAAGCGCGTCATCTTGCTGATTCGCTTCTGTGGCTAAGAACTGACAAGTAGCTAATGCAGCTGCCTGGAATAGAATTTATGTATTCCGTTGTAATTATAAAKAGAAAAATATCTAGATATGCAAGATGAATGTTGCTTGATAGGAATGTTTGACGGACTTCATTAAACAAGAAAGTCAAACGGCAGAATCAGCGTTGGATCATTCAACAAATATTCCTCTTTTGCATTGCATTCAACAGCCGTGCTTTTTCTTCGGTATATTGTAAAGCGCCGTTTAGCTCTATATATTAATAGTGCTATATAAAATAAAGGTATTAATTATTATTATTATTAATTACCTCTAATTCTTCACGGTCAAACATCGATTTAATAGGCGAGGGTTTAATAGCTGCAGCCATRAGTTGTTGTAAAGAAAACGCATTACTACCAACACTATCACATCCATGGTGGGTCAGGATCTGTCGCAGGTTATCTTGACGACTAAACAAAACACGAGCTGCTTTCAGTAGTCCAAGATTGATCTGCTGTTGTCTTAGAAGGGCTGTATCTACTTCATCAACTGGAACCAGAGAGCTTAATTAGCCTACATTTTTACTWTTATAATATTTTTCATATTTGGCATTTTAATAGTCTCTTCACTGCCATTGCCTACCTTTCTTTCCTTCAGACGTTTTTGTTGTTCTGAGTGAATCTGAGTCAGCACTRTCATGCCCAGGTGGAGTTGGGAGTACAAAGTCGACTTGAGGAGGTTCTGGTGTCTTTCTCTGTCCTGTTCCAGCTAGTCGTATYAATGATGCCCAAATACCTTGTGTGGCCTCGGACATCGGTARRTTATCCACCGAGAACGCAAACACAGGGACCTGAAACAAACAATAGCAATTAGCTTTACTAGTTTCACGAAACTCTCTCAAGGACCCGATACAAACATTGTTATTGTCAATAACATCGATCCTCTCAATTCATTAGGCATTGCAATAGGATTTAAAGAAGCCCCAAATCCTATCTTATTTCGCATTTTTCTTTATCAGTACTTGGAACAAACCCGAACAAGCGCAACACAAGCGCAATATGAGGCATATCAATCTCGTTCCCAGAGCATGCGTTCTCTTTCGGTCAGCGACGAGACCAAAAGTAACGCGGGCTCTGGGTACGAGATAGAAGGCATATATGTTACACGTATTATCGTTGCTTTAGACCATACTTACTGCTTTAACATGAGCTATAGGACAAATCTTAGGTTTACTTTGATCATCATACTGTATGGTAACCTTGCCGTTGGGGGCTATTCTACTAATAGTGCCTTGTCCCCAGTCTTTATGATGCACCAGACCACCAAGGCGTGGTCGACTATCAACTCCACCAATCACAGCTAATACAGCCAT